TCAATCCAATTTCATATATTCTAGAAAATATTCACTTTTGTACAAGCAAGCAAAGGGAATGTGTTGACATGGCAGCCTATATAAAATATTTGCCCTTTCAGGATAAATTATTATTTGTGAATATGGGTAATGTGGAGACATGTTATCCAAGGTTTCTAGTCTCCTATGGGTAGATCTAGACCTATGTTGTCCAATATGATAGCCACTAGCCACACATAGCTATTTAAATAAACATTAAATAAAACTAAAAGTTCAGCTTCTCGGGGCACCTGGGTGGCTCAGTCGGTTAAGCATGCAACTCCAGCTCAGGTCATGATCTCGCGGTCAGTGAGTTCAAGCCCCACATCGGGCTCTGTGCTGACAGCTCAGAGCCAGGAGCCTGCTTCAGATTCTGTCTCCCTCTCTCTCTGCTCCTACCCCGCTGGCGCTCTGTCTCTCAAAAATGAATAAATGTTAAAAAAAAATTTTTTTTTTTAAAGTTCAGCTTCCCAGTTGTATGAGGCACATTCCAAGAGCATAGTAAGCACAGGTGGCCTGTAGCTGCCATACTGGAAAGATGTACAGATTATACAACAACAGTTCCGTCTTTGCAGAAATTTCTATTAGAGGGCACTGCTCTAGTCAGTTGCTAATGTGTCTTCCAGCCCTAAGACCATCAATAACCAGAAACCTCACAATTCATCTCAATCTGTTCACCTCTCTTCATTCTCTACTGTCTCCACAATCTGTCATCCTGACTGTGGGAGGCATGATGGTTAGAGCTCCAATGAAGTTCCTGACCACAAATGCCTTGAACTGATCTGAGGCGAGTGCAGACCACCATCAGAATAGGTAGCGTGGGAGCATTTGCTGTGGGGTTCCTGGCCCCCAGGAGCTATTAATAGGAAGCTGAGTTCTCTCTCAGTGGCACCTCCCACCCCACCCCACCAGCTTGTGCTGGTAATTGAGTAAGCCTTTGGTTATTGCCCACATCCTCCCACTGCAGTGAACAAGGGACATGGATGAGGCTTCCAGGAGTGAGGGTGTGGAGACCCCAGGGGGGTGGTTAAGAAGGCAATACAGAGCCTGTCTTGCTTGCTACAGAATGGAAAATCTCAGATTAGGAATGCTAGGAAAGAGGTGCATGATAGCGCCTCCCCCCCCCCCATATTCCCAAGGTGGCCTTGTGAGGGTCTGTGGGCTGCAGACTGGAGGGATGTATTCCATGGCTAGCCAGGAGGTCTGGAGGGTGGTATGGCATGTTGTCTGTGGTTCCCTGAACATCCCCAAATACCTTGAGGTAGGTAACCACAATAAATCAAAGAAAGGGCCAGGCTGCAAGACCCTCCAGAAATTTTCTGGACCAAACTGATCTCCCCAAACATGGAGTTATACAATTTGAGAAGTTCCAAAAACTGGACCGCCAAAGTTCCTGACATCCACGACCGTGGCTGGAGAGAACCTAGCCCTAACCTCTTTATAGGCTTTTATTGATTTAAAACTAGGAGGAGTTAGCAGATAACTGGTAGCAGATGCTGATGGCATCCACCTTTATCCCTCAGGCTGAAACATGTTTGTTCTCCCCAGCTTCCATTCCACTGCCAAGTTCCATACTTCTTTGCCTGGAGGAGCTTTCTCTGAAGTCTTTGAAAGGTCACTCTGCTAGCAGATGCCAGATGTCTGATGGGGATGGTATTACTACCCCAGCTTCCTCGCCTTTCCCTTCTCTTGTATTCTGTACTGTTCCCCAGAAGCCCTGTGGCTTCAGAGTCCAGTCTCCCACAGTGGCTGCTGGTTGGAGAATGAGCTCTTTGTTGGTTCCCTTCTCTACCGGTATTTTGTACTCCCCACCCGCCCCGGCCAACTTCCAGATAAACCATTTCCACTTTAATATTTGTCTCAGGGTCAGTTTCTGGGGAAACCTAAACAAAGACATAAATTAATCATGTCAATTAATTTTCAGGCTTTCCAGGCTGAAAGGTAATTAAATACATGTTTGTATGCTCTCTGCAAAAGGTTTTGAAAGGAGTGTGTGCTAAGCCATTTCACATTTATGCTTTGCTGCCAGGAAACCGACAGGAGATGCTCAGGATGGGCAAATGTCAGCCCCCAAGGGCATGATAGCAACTGACAAAACTATTTATTGGAGGACTTCTGGCTGTCAGTTCTGATCTCTGTTGATGATCAGAGGAATTCACTCATTCTGCAAATATTTTCTGAGCTCCGCCTCTCTGCAGGAGGCCCAGGCAGCATTAGCCAAATGAAAACAAGTACTGTCTGTTTTCTCTGAGATGCAGCTTTCAGATTACTCTATTAAAAAAAAACACTAATGAATCTGTTCAGAATTAATGCTTGAATTACTGTTGGGTTGGTAATGATTCTCAAGAGTGTGAAGGGTGAATAATAATGGCCAGGAGTTTTTTCCTTTTCAAACTATGCAGGATTTATTTCTGTGAATTCAATGCCCCTTCCCTCCTCCCCGAAGAAATAACTGCTACAGGGGCGCCCGGGTGGCTCAGCTGGTTAAGCCTCCAGCTCTTGATTTTGGCTCAGGTCATGATCTTACGGTTGGTGGATCCAGCCCCTCATCTGGCTCCACACTGACAGTGTGGAGCTTGCTTGGGATTCTCTCTCTCTCTCTCTCTCTCTCTCTCTCTCTCTGTCCTTCCCCCCTCCTCAACAAACAAACAAACAAACAAACAAACAAACAAACGAAGAAATGATCACTACAGTGTGGTGTATGCCCCAGGAGGGTTGGGACAGAACAGGGTTGCACACCACAGAGATTCTGCTTTGGGAACAGAGCCAAGCAGGAATGACAGCCCAGTGTGGAGTAAAGGTGCCTGGACTGGGAGCCTGGAGAGCTGGACAGTGGTGCTGCCAGCCAGCTGTGTGACCTCAGGACGTCACTGCCCTCTCTGGATCTGTCTCCTCACCTTTGAAACGAGGAAATGGGATGGTCTCTAAGGTCCTGGATTATAAATATTCATGGATCTTCTAAAAAAGAAGTAATGGACCAAAATCAAACCTGTGGTTTGGTTTCACTTTCCCTTTGTGTTGTTCCACCTCTGGCCTGGTTGGAGGTGGGGAGCTGCATTTTGTGCAGTTAGTAGGCACTATTTGCCATAAAAAATGTTTGCAGTGACCTGGCCCATGGAATTAAGGTTAGAAAGAAAAGGGGCGTTGAAAGGGGATAAGGGGTAAGAGAGATGGGGGAGTAAAGATGTTTCCTGGGCTGGAGAACATCAGGGGGTCCAGAATCGGTGAACACCCTGATCTGAAGGTTTCTGTTGATACTTAGGGGCCAGGGGATTGAGGGGCCACAGGGGGAAGAAAGAAGAACAGAAAACGTCCTCCTGGTTTTCTTTTAGTAGCTTTTATAAACTCTTGTGGCCCTCCAGCCTTCCTGTATATTAGAAACATCCAGCGAACTTAAAAAAATCACAGAGACCCTCTCCTTCTTTGGATTTGAGTGGTCTTTGATGGCACCTGGAAATGAGCATTTTTGAAAATGCTCTGAAATAATCCCGCCGTGCAGCTGGAATGGAGTCCCACCAAACAGTGACTCAAAGCATAGGAGCAGTCCACTTGCCTTCTCTCCAAAAGATGAGCTATCTCATTTTTCATACCTTTTCCACACCTTTCTTTCTCTTCTGTTCCTCTCATCCTGGGCCTCAAAATGCCCCAAGTCATACATGGCTGGGAGATGGAGAAGGGAAGAAGAAACCCTATGCATTCTATTTTCTCGTTAATTTCTTGATTATTTATGAGGTTTAATAAAAGATGTTTTCCTCCATGAATATAACTCATAATATTTAAGAAAAACTTTAAAAACACCGTGGTCAAAAACAAGCGAGCAAAAACATCTCAACATGTCAAATAGGCCCCTCCCTCAAAGACAACCGCTGCTAACTCCAACACATTTTTGCGTTTTCTTTCTAATTCTTCCCGGATGCCTCATTTCTTTGTTTGATTGCTTCACCCTACTGTATATACCAGGGGTTGGCAAACTGCAGCCCACAGGTAAATCCAGCCCACCTCTTGTCTCTGTAAATAAAGTTTTATTGGAACACAGCCATGCTCATTTGTTTGTTACCTTTTGTCTACAGCCGCTTTCACAGGACCATGGCAGGTTTGAGTAGTTTCAACAGAGACTGTCAGGCCCAGGAAGTCTAATATTTATTATTTAGTGCTTTCCAGAAAAAGTTTATTGGTTCCTGGCATATACCCTTCTGTACTCTTGTATCCCCCATTTTACCTTATTATGTGAGCATTTCCCGTGTTGTTATAAATGCTTCATAAATATTTCTAACAACTTCCTGGAATTTCATTGCATGGTTAGGTTGTGGCTTAGCCTTACTCCTATTATTAAACATTTCTGTGTCCCCTCACCCAGTTTTTTCATTCTTTTTTTTTAAATGTTTATTTAAACGTTAAATAAGAGAGAGAAACAGTGTGAGCAGGCAAGGGGTAGAGAGAGAGGGAGACACCAAATCTGAAGTAGGCTCCAGGCTCCGAGCTGTCAGCACAGAGCCTGACGCAGGGCTCGAACTCACGAACTGTGAGATCATGACCTGAGCCGAAGTTGAACGCTTAACTGACTGAGCCACCCAGGCACCCCAGTTTTTTTCATTCTTTAAATGAATGCTTCAGTGAGTATGTTTGGATGTAAACTTTATCTGTGTTTTCAATGATTTGTTTAGGAAAGTGTCCAGATTATTCAACTGGAAGGTAGGGGCATTTCAAGACTTTTAACACATATCGTGAATTCCCTCACTCAAAGACGTCATACGAGTTTGTACTCCTCAGTAGTAATATAGGGGAGAACCTACTTCTCCACACACTTGTCGGCATTAAGTTTTAAACATGTTCTGCGTTTAGACAGGTAAGCCGCTATCATCTTAAATTGCATTTCTTTTATGTCTAATGAGATTGAAACTTGCATTTCTTCTTTTCTGTGTTGACTGCTTTTCACCTTTGCTTGGCCTCCTTCTGCACAGGGCAGAGGGGAGCACACTCACCTTGGCTTGGAGCAAGGCTCCTGCCTCCGCCCGGTTCTTTTCCACATCTCTCTCCCAGTGGATTCTGATGGTCTCGAGGATGTCGTCCAGACCAGTGCCAATGGGAACACCCATTTGTTCCAGCTCAGACCCTGCCAGCTGTTTGTACAGCACTTTCACATCCTGCAAATGACGATAGACGCTTCAGGTGAGTTCCAGAGGTGAAGAAAAGGACACAGAAGTTGAGCCAGCATAAGCCCAGGTCTGTTGGGTAATCCTTATGCTTCTCATTCTGCTACTGCCAAAAGTGGGGCTTCTCAGAGACTGGCAAAGTCCCTGACCCTGTCATCAGCACCGGTGCCATAGTCTCCTTCCCCAAGGATGTATTTCTTAGGCTGGTCTTCGCAAACCCAGACCCACTCAAAGCAAACGTCAAAATAAATAAATAACCAAATAACAACACAAACAGAGTAAGCAACAAGAGTAAGATGAAATTGATGGGTTTTGTAAAGTCACAGTAGGCAGGAAGAGGTTTAAAAGTAATTCTGGAGTCTCCAAGGGTTGGAGGTGGGGGGAGTGGTACCAAACGACTGAGCTAGGAACAGGAAGTGGGCTTTGGGTTCCTGGTCAGCCTGAGGTTGGACAAAAGAAGGGACTTCCCAATGGAAGCATGGTTAAGTGAGTTTTGACTTTTTCAACTGAAAGCACTTTAAGTGTCTGATCAGCGACTTGTGTGAGGTGGTTTAGAGTCAGTGCCATTCCGCAGGGAACTGGAGGGCTTCCCCGTTGGAGGTCCCACTGAGTCCTGTCACTCAAGCATCTGACCTAATTTCATTAATGAGTGTGTGTAAACCACAGCTTGGATCTACCTTCAGAGCTGTCTTGTTTGTCCTATGCAGTGCTAAAAAAAAAAAAAAAAAAAAAAAAAAAAGACACGAAATACAGTGCCTTGAGGTAGAGGATGCTCTCTCCAGTTCAACACAGACTCCGTCACTCTTGCCGGTGTGGACCTGCTGTCTCCTCCATTTATGTACCAGCCTGGTCTCAAAGCCACTTGAATTTGAGACTCCCTGGGGTAACCTTACCCACTACAAGGATTTGAAGGTATTTTACCTGCATTTTCCCTGCAGCCCTGGGCAAGGGACGGGGAGAGGCTGAGATGAGCCACCATCACTGTTGTGAACCTCCGTCAGACAGGTGAGTGCCTGTGGTCTGTGGCCAACCCAGCGTTGCCCCTGCCCCCACCTACCTCCTCATAGCCCCTTGACAGAAAGCCAAGTTCTTCTTTCAGGCTTTCTATTTGACTCTCCAGATCCATTTTTGTCAAATTAGCCTCATCGATGACTTTATACAGAGAGTTAATTTCCTCTTCTGCTGCCTTTCGAAATGGCTGCTCATTTTCATATCTGCAGATAAAGGAAGGTAAAGAGCAGAGGTGGGCAACCCAAAAGGGAAAATAATCAGAAACGTTACCAATAGGCCAATTATGTCATAGACAAACAGATGTGAAAAGTCACTGTTCCAACAGCTTTGAGGGCACTGTTAATGCAAGTCTTAGATGTTGATTTATTATCATGAAAATGATTGCAGCCAACTTCTGATGGCCCAGCTTCACAGGCTGCCAGGCTCAGGGGCTCTGGAGGCACAGAACTCTAGGGAAAGCTTCTCCGGGAGTTGAGATCCAGGTAAGGGGATCTGGCCTTGTCACCATTATTGTGATTTGTCATCCTTTCCCTTGAGGATCTTTTAACAGACATGACTGAGAGTCTGCTAAGTACCAGGCTATGTGCTAGTGATCCCAAAATAAAAAGCATGGTTTCTGCTCCCAAGAACCCATGTGAAATTTTAAAACTGTGGCTGCAAACCCCAGTGCCATCAGAGGCCAAGAGGGGAATATAGATGAGGGACGAGGCCCAGGTCTGGGAAGCAGGGAGAGGTGGGGACGGGACAGGAGCACACAGGACGGCTCACCCTTCAGGCAAGGGGAGGCTGCTGCGTGGAAAGGTGTGTGCCCTTTCTCTTCAAGAGAAACGAGGAAACCTGGATTTATATGTAAAATATCCAGAGTTTTAAAAACTTGCAGCTTATACAATCACACACACACACACACACACACACACACACTGACACAAGTCTGAAACTGTGCCCTCCCCTCCCACCACCAAGTTCTTTCTTTTTTTTCCCAAGTTTTTATTTAAATTCTAGTTTACATACAGTGCAATATTGGTTCAGGAGTAGAAATCAGTGATTCATCACTTACATATGACACCCAGTGCTCATCCCAACGAGTGCCCTTCTTAATTCCCATCACCCCTTTAGCCCATCCCCCCACCCACCTCACCTCCATCAACCCTCAGTTTGTTCTCTGTCTTTAAGAATCCCCCTGAGTTCTTTCCATCTCTGGTTTGCGCAGAGCCTTCTTTCTAAAAGCCACTCAACATCTTTGCCAGTTTCCCCCAGCGTTAACTCCTTTTCTTCCACAGCCTTCCACCCAGGTGTACCCCATCAGCCAAATTTCACACCTTACCTTCACCCATCCATAGGATGGAGAAAGCTCACACTTCTCATTGAAGAAAGCATCTTAGGGCTTTAGAGTTTTAAGGGCATTTAGGGTTCCTAAATGTCTCCCACTCCGTGACAATGCCTCGATAGCATTCTTGATAGGTGATCATGTAGTCTCTGCTTGACTACTTCCAGTGATGGGGAACTCATCACCTATCAAGGCCACCGTTCCATTTTGGGACAGCTGTAATTATTACAAATTTCTTCCTTAAAGAGCTTAAGCCTTCATTCCTGTAAGAGTCTGAGTTCCACTCTCTGGAGTACCCAAAGTCAGTCTAATCCTTCTTTCTGGCAGCCCTATAAATATTTAGAATGTCTCTTATAGCACTCTTTCTTTCCCGCTCATCTCTCCCTCCAAGCCTTTTGTTCCTCAGGTTAAGCGTTCCCGGTTCTTCCGTTCTTCATACAAATTGGTTTCCATGTCCCTCATCATCCGTGGCAGGGACTATGACCCTTCTGTCTTTGTATTCTTAGCACCCACCTCCAGGCTTCAGATAGATTTGTGGAATGATTAGAAATGCCCTAATTGGTCCATGTCCTTCTCAATATGTAATACAGAAAATGGAATGTAAAACTCCGGATGTTCCCTGATCAATTCAAAGTCCTGGGGGACTGTTTGCTCCTTTGTTTAAACCCTTCAGTTCTATTCACCATGGGCCCTAAGGTTTCCTTCGAGGGGGTTTGTTTTTTTGTGTGTTTGTTCATTTGATTTTGACCAGCTGTATTTGCTGTTGACTAATATTGGGTGTCCTCTCAACTAGAGACCCTGAGCATTTTTCACAAGCCCAATTACCTTGTCCTTTCTGGGTGCACCTGGCATTTGAACCCAAAGAGAGGATCCGCATATATCTTCTCTCAGTTTCATTGGCCCAGTGTTCCAATGTGTGGGGATCATTTTGATTCCTAGTTCTGTCTGTCATCTTTCTCTTCACCACCCCTCCTGGCTTTGTATCTTCTGCCATTTTGCCCTACCTGCTCTCATGCACCTGTGGTTAAAAATAGTAAATGAAGGAACCAAGGACAGAGCCCTGTGGCATACTGCTAGAGACCTTTCCTCAGAGTTGGACCTGCACCTTTGAATCACCCCCTGAGGAGCTGGTTTCTAAAGCATTTTTATGTACTCTCTATGTGGGATTAGATTTTCTACCCAAATGTATTCTTTAGGAAGTACTGTATTTTTATTAACATTTAATCTTTTGGAAACGAGTCTTGCCCTTCTAGCTGGAATGAAAACCTACCCCTAGCACTGGGATTGGCCCCTTTTGACCCCCCCTGGAAGAGTCTCTGTGTGCCTCCAAAGTCCTGTTGTGCTTATCTCTCCAGGGAGCCTGGTCCTTCCCAGGATATGCGCCACTCAGCATTATGGGAGGTCTTAGGTGCTCTACAGACCTTTGTTTGGAAGTCCTTTAGAATTTGACACATATCTGTGATATCCCCAAGGCTGCTGCTAAACTTTCAGCTTTCTCTCACTGTCTTTTATTCCTTTCCTCTTCCATGTTGAAGTCATCAAATAGAATCTCTGTGTTGGTGATGCCCAGAAGTGCCTGTCTTGACCTGTGGGCCACTCTGGCCCGGCATCTTCAGTGGCCCACCACAACTGCTCCGTCAGCTCAGCTCAGCTCTGCTTGCTCAAAGCCAAGCTCATTACTACCCTTGAATTTAGACCAGCTTTGCTTCCACAATTTTCTATTTTTGTCGAGAGAATGGCAAATCTTCTCACTTACCCAAGTTCAACACCTGAAACTTACCTTTGCCTTCTATTTTCAGGCTGCATATGTAGATAATTATCAACCCCTGCCAATGATTTCTTTGACCCATCCCTCAAGTCTGCTCGTGGCCACTGTCCCAGGCAGACCTTGAGCTGTAACAGCCTCTGATCGTCTTCCCACAACTGACCCACAGTAGTGCCTCCAGAGGAACCATCCTTAACCATATCCAGTCACCATCTGCTCAGAGCCTTAAGTGTTATCCTCTGGCCCCTAAGTAATCTATCTCACCTTACTTTCCAGCCATGGCTCCCAGTACAGACTCTGCCCTTCCACTGGTCCAGCCCCTTTGCTCCTATTGCTTCTTGCTGGTTTGCCCTGCTTCTCCTCTCCACCAGTACAAAGCTGAAATTTTGAAGCTGAAGACTAGTCATGATGAGCCACTGCTCAGATCCCTTCTATGGGTCTCTTCTTCTCTCAGGTCATCTCTGAGCTCTTTGGTAGGCTGACATGATACTCCAGGATTTGGTCTCTCCCTGATTTTCAAGCCCCATTGGTTGTCCCTCCTTTCTTCACTCCACATGCCCCAGTTATAATGAGTTACTTGGTGGCCACAAATACACCATGTTTTCTCGTGTCCTGCCTTAACACATACTGCCCTCTCTGCCTGGAAATTCGTGTCTCCTTTATTGGCCTGCACAACTCCTGCAAAGGACCCAAATCGGGCATCACCTCTTTGGTCAACCCTCCCTGGCCAACTAAATGTCCCCACCCCACCTGTGCTCTTCTCAGTGATGGCACAACTGCCCCATGATGCCACTATCTGTTCACTCCTCTGTCTTTGACACTGAACTGTGAGCTCCTCGAGGTTCCATTTACTTCATCCCCAGGACCTGGCCAGGGTCCGGGCAGCTATTCAAACATTTCTTGAATTTATTCATTTATTTAACAACTATTTGTCGGGCATCTATCTTGTGCGTGGCACTGTTAATACACTGGGGAACAAAACAGACCAAGCCCCTGCTACTCAGTTGGATGGATGGATGAAGAAATGTATGAATGCATAATGAATGAATGAATGAATGAATGAATGAATGAAATTTTGGTTACATCCTAACTTAACTTCACACCTAATTAAATTCTATCTTAAATGTAGCACAAATGGTTTCATGTCTCTTGGCATCCATCTCTAACTGTGCAGTTAGCTGTCAGTGGCCAGCCGATGGCTTCGCTTTTTTGCGCTTCTGTGACCTTGGCCAGCACAGTGTTGTCCAAAACAGCAACCCCAGCTGATTGAGTTTCCTTGACTCGAGAGTGGCCACTAGTGGAGGTCCTTTTATCAGCTGGAGAAGCCTGGTCTTAGAGAAAGGAAACGACTCTGGGTCTGAGGAGACGTAGCGATTTTCCTTTCCATCACGATACCCTTTCTATCCTAAGACAAGAATGGCAGTGGGGTCACTGTCTTCCCCAAAGACTCCCAACTATATGCCTTTCCTCTTTGCCTTTATCAATTTAAGGAAATGTTCCTTGAATAACTATCCCATCACCCATCTAATTGCCCAACATCCAGAACACCTTCCCCGCAGAATATTCCCAAAATCACTGTGTTCATCAATGAAAGGTCTTTTTCATTTCATTTCTCCAACACGGACCACAGACCTCATGCACCATCATGACTTTGCCCTAAATGCATCTCTCTCCTGTCACTAGTACTTCAAATTGTTCCTTAAATTTATCTACTTAAAAAGTACATGTTAAATCAGTAAACTTTAAAAGCTCTTTATATTAAATACATTTTAAATTGCTACTATAAATTATAGTAGCTATAGTGGAAAAACAGTTTCATGAGTCATAAATAGAAGGTAACTGTAAAAATCCATAACTATTAAAAACAAAGTGTCTATCCTTCTATCACTTAAAATGATCGTCATCAGTGGTCTACACACCATATTTTAGGAAACACTGTACTAGACTTCAAAAGATGTTTTTCAAGACTGGTGAGTTAAAACTACTGAGGCCTGGACCCACCCCCAGGGAAGGTGGTTTCATCCCTCTGTGCAGCTTGCACGTTGGCAGCTTTAAGTGCCCAGGTCATTCTGACATGTGGCTGCAATTGAGAAGCATTGCTCAAAACCAGCTGTTCTCCACGTGTGGTCCCAGGACCAGCAGGATCAGCATCATGGGGACCTCATTAGGAATGCAAATTTGGGGCCCCACCCCAGACTACTGAGTCAGAAATTCAGAGGGTGGGGCACAGCCATCTGTTTTCTAGAAGACCTCCTGGTGGTTCTGAAGCACACTACAGTCTGAGAATCCCTGCCCTGAACCAGGTGACACTGGGCAAAGTCTCTGAGCCCTGGGGACCTGGTTTGTGTCTAGAAGGAGGGATTGAACTGGACGATCTTTCTCTGGGTTCTCCTGGGGCTTCCACTATCCCACTCCAGCCTTCTGTGCCGCTGGAAGGGAACGCTGCAGACCCTCGGAATAGCAGTTCCCGAGTTGCACAGTGGTCTGAAGGTGTGGAGTGACTGTCCCCCCTGCTGCAGAAGTTACCTCTCGGGGCACCTGGTTGGCTCCGTCAGTTAAACGTTTGACTCTTGATTTTGGCTCAGGGCACGGTCTCACAGTTTGTGGGATTGAGCCCCATGTCAGACTCTGCACTGACAGCACAAAGCCTGCTTGGGATGCTCCCCCTCTCTCTCTATCTGCCCTTCTCCCTCCTCTGCTCTCTCTCTCTTTCTCCTTCTCAAAATAAATAAACTTTAAAAAAAAAAAAAGAAGAAGAAGTTACCTCTCTTTAAAGTCGTCTGCACCCGCCTGGATATTCTCTGTCTGAAGCATGAGCCGGGCATTTTCCAAGACCGCCTCGCCCACCTAGAAAGATCACACACATCAGAGGAGACAAGGTCACTGGACCATCTTCCCTTACTTCCCACTGTGACTCGCACTGGGCACAGATCTGGGGAATAGAGCACTTTTCTTACAGCAAATATTTTTAGAATTCAAGTATCTCTCTCCAAAAAGGTAGGGAGGAGATAAACCACAAAGCATAAAATCTGGCTGTCTTTTAAGAGCCTTTAGAGTTGGATTTTTGGAGCTAAAATATTACTCAAAGGCAGACTTGTTCCTAGCCTCTGTCATAATGCTGAGCTCTCAACTGCCAGTGAAGCTTCTGGCTCCTTAAATGAAGTTTCACTGGTTTGATTTAGTGGCTCTTAACATTTTCTGCTCATGGGTGCCTTTGAAAGGCTGACGAAATCTTTAGGTCAGTGCTGTCCAATAGAACTTTCTGTGGTTATGGCACGCTTCTATGTCTGCACTATCACGGCCACACGTGGCTACTGAACACTCAAGATGTGGCCAGGATGACTGAGGAACTGAAAATTTAATTTCATTTGAATTTAAATAGCCACCTGTGACTAGTGGCCACTGTACTGGGCAATGCAGCTCTAGAATTTCATTCATCCTCAAAACGTACATATGAACATAGATACACTATGCATACAGTCTGGGAGTTTCCTGGAGCCACGAAGAGTGGCTTTTCAAAACTGGCTCCCCAAACCCTACAGAGTCCTTCAAAAGTGGGGGTTGGGGGGTAGTTCTCTCCTTGATCTGAGAAACATATATATTACATACGTAGCTTTTCTATAATCTTCAGTTTGGGGGGGATAAGAGGACAGTTACTTTAAAAGAAGGACGCAAGTCACTGTTTTCAGTCCTTTTGTACTTGGATGTGAAAGTGTTGTAAGCTCTTCATTGAGTGGGAGGTCTCCCAGCACCAGAAGTCAGAGATGGCATGAGATGAGAAAGTAGGAGAGGAGAGACCCTCATCTGCCTGTTCCCCAGGGTTCCCCAGGGCTGGGCTGAAACTGAGAGAAGATCAAATTTGGTAGCAGGAAATTCAATGAAACAAGACAGGACATCCCCACTGAAACAAGGCAGGACGCAAATCAGTACTCTCACTGTGGTTGGGACTTGGCCCACCCCTGTGCTCTCTCCGTTTCCCCATGAGAGCCCTAGCCCACCGTGTTGACATGGACCCTCCCCAAGCTTGGCTCCTTGTTAACTGCTAGGTCTCCAAAGCCTGGCTTATGGTAGACATTCCATCGATACCTGCTGAACGAATGCATGCATGAATGAATGGTGCGACCATGGGTGAACCGAACCCCTCCCTTCCCCCGTCAGGGTTTGGAGGTCATTTCTATTCCTCAGAAGCCCCCTGAGATTTTGTTTTTAGTTAGGTAGGGCGAGGCCAACAGATTGGGAGATGGCTGACCTTGAAAAGATATTACTCACAGTTCCCAAAGGCAGGGGCAGCCACACCAGGAGGGGCCATATAACGAAGTACAAGGGTCGGCTGCAAAAGGATGAGGGTAAAGTGTGGGCAAAAGCCTTTATTGTGGTTTTCATGGGAAGGATGGGAAGGAATGGGTGAGGCAAGGTAAATAGCCAACCGGGTTTAGGATTGAGTAGTTTGAATCATTTCAGCGGTCTCTATGGGTCCCTGGAATGGTCTTGGGCCACCTGGGATGATTAGAGCAGAGGAATATTGCCTCCTGGAGCATAAGTGCCAGAAAGAGAAGGCAGATGGGGTACAGACTCTCAGACTCTTGGATTGGCTGGTTTGCATATCAAAAGCATGTTGGGCAAGTGGCTTATTATCTCTAAGATCAGCTAGCTCAGTGAGGGGCTAACAGCGAGGCCCTAGATGCCAGAGCACCAAGAATACAGAAAAAAAGAAAATATAGTCAATATTGTTGAATATAATTCATCTAAAGGACCACGGCTATGTGAGGCCTCCCTGAGGACTGGCTTTGGCTGGTCTGGCCGAGGCTCTCTTCAACCTCCTGCACGCAGTTGTGGCCCTCACACTCAGGAGCCCCTTTTCCAGACTTTGGTTGCCACTTTACAGATGCCATTTTCCAGATGACAGACTTAAAGCCAAAGGCAATCAATCACCCTGCTGGATTTCTCACAACAATGCCCGAGCAAATGTCCCACTCGAGTGTGGGACACCGAATCACAACAGGTATCTAGACTGCGGGCCCCAAAACTACGGCTGTTAGAGAAGGCGGCTTTACAATCTCTTTAGACAGAGATTGTGGCCACGCAAAGGCAGCTGTGGGCAGCTGTGGGGCCTGGAGCTTATGCAATGTGGGAGACTGCCTTTAAGAAAAAAAAAAAATAAAGACTAATACAAAGGGCCATGCACAAATAAGGGACCCTGAAGCTTAAATTCTTAAAATTCTTCACCTTGGTACAGCTTAATTTTGTCTGTTTGTTTCTGCTTTTTAAATTTGGGCCCCAGGGGGTGGGCAGAAAAAGTACAAACCAAGCAACACTCTGGCGCCTATGTTGGAAACGTGTATTGAGAGCCCTACGATTCGGGATGAACAGAAAGATGGCTGAAAATGCAATCGCCCCAAGTCCTGCCATCCAGCATAAGCACCGCCAGCATTTGGATATGTTGTATTTCCTCTCAGCCTTTGCTTTGCCCAGCTACAACAGTACCCGGTGTGTTCATTTTTAACGCTCCCCTAGTTGATTGCAAACTTTATGCAGAAGAGGTGGCAGGGAGCCATCCACGAAGGAGTCTGATAGGAAATGCCAGCCGCTGCGTGATCGGCTGCGGTGAGGGGTCAGCTGCTCAGTGGTCCTCCTGCTCAGTTGGGGTTGAGGACAGGAGCGCTTCCTGGGGTAAATTGGATAGCAGACGGGGTAGTTGCGTCCAAATGTCTGTCCCAGGCAGCTCGTGTGGCACTGGGCTCAGGGAAGCTGGAGGCCTTCCTGCTCTAACTGTTGTTTAGTGACAACCAGGGGCTTATTCAAGCCTCAAGCAGAGGCTAATTATAGGCTGACTTGCCAAAGCACGGTTGCTGTCCGTGCTTCCCCATCTCCTTCACATGAGGAGCTTAAAATAAACCGCCAGCCCCCAATTCAGCCATAGAGCCCTTCACTGTTCTCTTGTGGGCACCTCAGCCTAGCAGAGGGGCATCCTCTCTGGAGTTCGTGGTGGCTCAGCCTCCCCCACTGTAGAAAGGGCCCGTCAGGCAGCATGACCAGGGCTGGCACCTTGGCCGAGGTTTAGCACAGGCTGGGGACCGGGCTGGTGGCCAAGGCCTAGAGTAAAGCACGGAGCCTGCCGGGGCACAGGCTCTTTGTCTTCCCACCTGGGAAAGTTTCGTGAAATCCTCCCCAGGGCTGAGCACGCGAACTGCAGAGGGGAGGGCATGCACTGACCACCTACGGATGTGCCCGGCACACCTGCTGGGGCTGGCTTGTACTGGCTTGCCGGGGCAGGCTGGTAAATACTTCAGGAGTTTTGGGAGCCAGTGGTTAAACACAGCCATCACGAACATTTTAATTATGTGAACTTACAATTAAATAAATTATACGAAAAACACCATTAATAAATGCTCAGAATACAAAGGCCATGATTACTCATCACTTCCTCCTATGTTTGACTATCATCCTGCTAGTGAGGTTATTTCCTCCCGTTGTGTCTGCACAGTGGAAACACCGTATGATGTATGTTATGTGCGTCTCTTCTCAAGTGTGCATTCAGTGACAGCATGGTGGTAGCTTCGTATCAGCCAGGGTGAGAGTGTTTACACCAGGGAAGTTGGCAAACACGGTAAACTAGAGCCTTTTATTTACGGAAAGCTGATTGTTACACAGATCCTGGCTCGGTGGCTGGGCCTCCCATGCTACTGAATACTTAACACTCATGACTTCGCTCAGTGCTCCTGATATTCAGCCCTGACAGCAACACACCTATTTTACAGAGGAGGGTGCCAAGGCCATACAGAAGTTGCCCCAAATCACCCGGACGGAGCAAGGCAGAGCCAGAACGCCAGGCCAGGTCAACGCGACTCCAAAGTGTGCGTATTTTTGTCATCAGCTTTGGAAACTAAAGGGCTCATCAGCATCAAGAGAGAAACTCATTGCGGAGGACTGTCTTCTGTCTTTTTCCTGGAACAGAACAGCCAGGAATCGTGGTTCCTATTTGGGCTGCGTCACGGAGAGAGAGGGATGTCTTCCCCACTGGCGTGAGGCAGCTCACCAAATCAAACCAAACAAACCAGCTCCCACGCCAACCTCCTGAACTTGCATTTCTGAGCCCGTAAGCTAAGCAGAGTTGAGCAGGGCCAACTCTGAAGAAGGCCTGGAGAAATCCTGCTGCGGAGTGCTTTGCTGTCCGGCCTACAGAAGAGACGTCATTTGCATTTAAAAGTGAAGGAAATGCACATTCGCTATCTGGTCCTCTGAGATTCATGCTTGAAGAGGATGCAAATTAACTTCACCTCTCTGGTCATCTTTTCTTTCCAGGAGTGAAGGCCATACAAAGACCAAATAGTAATATGTACAGTCACTAGGCTGATGCCATGCGTACAAGTGTCCTTGCTCGTAACCCCGGAACCCCTCCTGCCCTCTTTTCTAATAGGAAGAAAGTCGGAACCAAGGTAATAGTTGCACAGCAGGGTGAACCATAAGGGTGGCTGGCTGGCAGCTTGCATGTGGCTGCTGGGAGGGCCAGAGGGGACGACCTCTCCTCCTCCTCTCTCTCTCTTTCTGCCCAAACCAAGCTAACTCCTGCCAGCAGCATGTGATGATTGTTTCGTCTGTGCAAGATGATTTAACACCAGGTCTCCTGGTAAAAAGAGACACTGAGGGGCGCCTGGGTGGCTCATCGGTTGAGTGACTCTTGATTTTGGCTCAGGTCATGATCTCACGGTTCGTGAGGTGGAGCCCACATCGGGCTCTGTGCTGACAGTGCAGAGCCTGCTTGGGATTCTCTCTCTCTCTCTCTCTCTCTCTCTCTCTCTGCCCTTCCCCTGCTCTCTCTCTCTCAAAATAAACATTTTTTTTTTTTT